TATCTTTCTATAGTTAACTTGAATGCATTATCCCTATTTTTAGCTACTTAGCTATTATAGGTTTCAACTTGGATAATTGTCTTCATTAAAATATTAACATTAATTCTGAATCTGGGCAAAGACTACAATAATGATCTCAGGACGGTATTTAAGATTAGGCTTGATAATAAACTCATGAATTAACAGACATACATACAGACTCTTCTTACTCGTAAGAAATATTTTGTATAGAGTCTTGTTCTGTTTTTTTTTTTACTGATGTTGATGCTGCAAGTTGTCAATTTAGCTGTCAACTGTCAAATACTCTCTTATGTACAGACATCCCATGCCCCCTCCCCCCCTCCAAAATGAACCTTAAAAATGTGTGACTGCTTTAAAAATGAGCTTTTTTTTGTATGAAATGTTTCTCCCATCCTTACTCTACTCTGTGTAATTCTTAAATACTATTTTAAACCTAGCAGTTACCTTTTCATGGTGATTAACCTCACATTTAAAATACTGCCCTGCAGTAGATAGCATTTTAATGCTGCCATGTAGAAGTTATATATCAAGCCATTTTCTGTGGGGTTCTTTGTTCATTAGTGAATTAATTTTCTTTTTTCAGCATATGAGTTCTATATACCAATAAATTTTTACAGGAGATGTTTGTCCCCAAAAAAACCATGGTGGCTTTGACATATCTTAAAACTCTTCATTAACGTATAATGCAATAATTTTGGGTATCAATTTTCCTTTCACAGACAACACAGCCAGCATTCATGTCGGTCGTGGAATTTTTAGCCGTCAGAAACAAGACTTTTACCCATTGCCCATCGTAATAAGTGATGGGGGGGTCCCGTCATTGACCAGTACAAACACCCTTTCTATCCGCGTATGTAGCTGCAGTGAAGGAGCTGTACTGTCATGTAATGCTGAGCCACAAACACTTAATGCCGGCCTCAGTACCGGAGCATTGATCGCTATTCTTGCTTGCATTGTGATTTTATTAGGTAAGTGAAATCCTTTTCTCAGCATCACAACTTTAACAATTATCAATTAATCATTGTCCTGTTCACATTATATGGCTTTCAGCATGTAAAAAAAATTCACAGTGAAAAATTGCAAAACTTGGATTTTCAAATATTTAAAGACGAATGATGCTCTGGGGAATCTTCATTTTTATTTTTTATAAAACAGCATTTAAATTTACAATCAAAGCTACTAGACTGCTATACCTATATTACAGTGTACCGTATATACTCGAGTATAAGCCGACCCGAATATAAGCCGAGGCCCCTAATTTTACCCCAAAAAACTGGGAAAACTTATTGACTCGAGTATAAGACTAGGGTGGGAAATGCAGCAACTACTGGTAAATTTCTAAATAAAATTAGATCCTAAAAAAATTATATTGAATATTTATTTACAGTGTGTGTATATGATGAATGTAGTGTGTGTGTATGAGTGCGCAGTGTGTGTATGAGTGCGCAGTGTGTGTGTATGAGTGCAGTGTGTGTGTGTGTGTATGAGTGCAGTGTTTGTGTATGAATGCAGTGTGTGTGCATAAATGCAGTGTGTGTATGAGTGGGCAGTGTGTGTATGAGTGCAGTGTGTGTGTATGAATGCAGTGTGTATAAATGCAGTGTGTGTGTATGAATGCAGTGTGTGTGTGTATGAATGCAGTGGGTGTGTATGACTGCAGTGTGTGTGTGTATGACTGCAGTGTGTGTGTATGAATGCAGTGTGTATGAGTGTGCAGTGTGTGTGTATGAATGCAGTGTGTGTGTGTGTATGACTGCAGTGTGTGTGTGTGAATGCAGTGTGTGTGTATGAATGCAGTGTGTGTGTATGACTGCAGTGTGTGTGTGTGTGTGATGCAGTGTGTGTGTGTGTTGCAGAGCCTTGGTGGGGGGTGGGCATTTTTATAAAAAAAAAATATATATATTATTTATTATTTTAATTTTTTTTTGTTATATTATTTTTTAATTATTATTTATATATTAATTAATATTATTTTAATTTTTTTTGTTATTTTTTTTATTATTATTTATTTATTTTTGTCCCCCCTCCCTGCTTGATACATGGCAGGGAGGGGGGCTCTCCTTCCCTGGTGGTCCAGTGGCATTGGCAGTTCAGTGGGGGGAGGAGGGGGGCTGGCAGAGCTGTTACTTACCTCTCCTGCAGCTCCTGTCAGCTCTCTCCTCCTCTGCGCCGGTCCGTGCAGCTCTTCTCTCAGCTCACACTGTAAGTCTCGCGAGAGCAGCACTATGACCCCGCGGCTCTCGCGAGACTTACACTGGGAGCTGACCGAGGTGCTGACCGGACCGGCGCGGAGGAGGAGAGAGCTGACAGGAGCTGCAGGAGAGGTAAGCGCTCGCTGCCAGCCCCCAGTCTGTATTATAGCAATGTAAATTGCCATAATACAGACAGTGACTCGAGTATAAGCCGAGCTGGGGTTTTTCAGCACAAAAAATGTGCTGAAAAACTCGGCTTATACTCGAGTATATACGGTAATTATATTTGCTGTGTAAGTAAGTCTCGGTCATCTATAGCTCCTACATTGGTTCTTAAAAAAATAAACAAAATTGACAGCATAGGCAAATATAAAATCATTTGCAAAAATAATGTCCTGCAGCTAGTAGTAAAAATCAGCCTGGGCAATACACTTTCTTGCATGGGTAAATGGTAGATCCTCAGATATCTGGCAAAGCATCATGGTAGTTGTAGTTCTACAACATCTGGTGTTCTACCTTTTACCCAGGCCCACTTGAGGTTCAACCCTTCGATACTTGTATCACACTGCTCCATTTTGGAGATATGTGCAAGTAAACCTTTTTTATTTTTTTATTTTTTTATTTTATGCTATACATAAACATAAATGATGCATAATGTTTATTGTAATATAAGCAGGCTATTTTTTCACTTATTCTAGTAGCCCAGCTGCTATGTGTCCATGCCCAGCCACAAACGTACCCTTTCAGAAATGTAAAGTTCCACTGTTTCTTTCCTCTTCCTCCATACTATATTTTAATTTCACATTTTTGTTATCTCCAGTGATTGTGGTCTTATTTGTAACTCTAAGAAGAGAAAAGAAAGAACCTTTAATTGTGTTTGAAGAGGAAGACATCCGAGAGAATATCATAACATATGATGATGAAGGTGGTGGAGAAGAAGATACAGAGGCATTCGACATTGCTACTCTGCAGAATCCAGATGGGATTAATGGATTTTTGCCACGTAAAGACATAAAGCCTGAGTTCCAGTACCCACCAAGAGAACTTGGAATTAGACCAGCTCCGAATAGTGTTGACGTTGATGATTTCATCAACACAAGGATACACGAGGCTGATAATGACCCTACTGCACCTCCATATGATTCCATTCAGATCTATGGATATGAAGGGAGAGGTTCTGTGGCTGGTTCTTTAAGCTCATTGGAGTCAGCATCTACAGATTCTGATTTAGACTACGACTATCTACAAAACTGGGGACCTCGTTTTAAGAAACTAGCAGACTTATATGGCTCCAAAGACACTTGTGAAGATGATTCTTAACAATAAAGTTCTAAATTTGGCCTTAAGTACTGTGTAATGTACTCAAGTATCCAGAGGAAACATTAACAGGTATTTTTTCTAAAGAAATCAAGAAAAGGCTTCTTTAACCATGAAAAGGTTTACAGACAGGATTCCTTCCAAAACTCAAACTTTGCAGTGGTGGTTGATACTGTGAGGACTCTGCAGCCTGAGTAAACGTTGTATCAGTTTATTTTTTTTTATTTTAATTTTATTTTTTTTAGAAATAAACCACTAGTAAGACGCAGCCTATTAAAAAAAAAAAAAAAAAGGCAATGCAGGAACCACTCCATGTAAAAGGGAAAATCTTTACAGTATGTAAAATATTCATCTTTTATTTCAAAAAAGCTTCCACAAATTAGAAAGGATAACAGTTTTGAGCTGTAATATCGCCTTAAACTATGGACACTTTATATGTAGTGCATTTTTAAACTTGAAAAAATATATATATATAATCAGCCAGCTTAAACCCATATAATGTATGTACAATAATATGTACAATTATAATGTCTCTTGACTTGTTACCGCTGATTCTTGTAAATCTTTTTGCTTATAATCCCGTCTTAAAACTAATACGTGCCAGAAACGCACCCGATTTCTATGTCATTTTTAATGTATCTATTTGTACAATTTTAAAATTCTTATTTTAGTATACATACAAGATATCAGTATTCTGACATGTTACGGCATCACACATATATTTTATGAACATCGTAATGTTGCTTTAATATGTGCTTCAATATAAGAAGCAATCTTTGAAATAAAAATGACCTTTTTTATTTCTTTTTGTGACTCGTAGGTGTTAAAAAAATTATTAATTTTTTGTTTTTAATAATTTGTCTCTAAGTGTTATTGTCTCAACGTATGTTTCCTTTCATTTCTTGTTTATCCCAAATAGGTAATTCGTTTGTTTTTCCACAAAAAATGCCAAATTGCTCTACACTCTTTTTAGCCAGACAGGATGCACTAGATTTATCATCCTGATTTGAAACAATTTCAGTATTTTTTCTCTTCCTCGTTTTTCCACCGTGGAACATTTACAGTATGATGCTGCCAGATCTCTATATAGCATTTATATCATGACTTAATGCTTCTTCTAAATGGCATGGATCATTGGATGTTTGTTATATTACTACACAAACCTTGCCTTCGTCAACCATTTTCTTTTGTTATTATATTCTCAGTTGTGCACCACAAATTAACCATACTTAGGGTTAAATATTTATTCAATAACATATAATTTTGTTTCTGATTCAGATATTCTTCCTTCTGAGGTAGAACATCATTATATGTTCCATTTCTTCTTTTCATTTACAAATGTATCTGCTCCTGTAAGGTTGCTTTTACGGTGAGGTCCCACCTAATATGTTGCCCAATGATTCTATAACAAATGCCCAAAATTTGCTTTCTATTGTGTAGCGGTCTGTTTAAACACCTTCAGCTCCATCTCTCCTATTAGCTACCAATCAGTTGGCTATAACCACCAAAAGGAGGTAATATGTAAGCAACTGAGAGCTCACGAGAGATGACCAGCTCATTTAGTTCTTCCATCAATAGCACCATTCCTGTTATAGCTTACCTGTTCAATGCATTTCTGCAGTGTAACTAAGCTCACAAAATGGCTGACACTAGCAGAACCAATAAAAATTCAATAAAATTAAAAAAGTCACTATAAAGATGAAATCTGGCGGCTAAATCTCTTTGGGCAAATATTATGAAACTTTAAGAAGATTATTCACTAAAAAAAAATTAAATTATTTGGGATTCAATGTGAGTTTAAAATTATCTGTATATTTGGAATCTCGTTTGAATTCTAAATATACACAGAAAAAAAATGTAATATTGCATTTCTGTATAAATATGCTAACTGCAATACTTACTGTTCTGAAAGCAGTTTGAACAGTAACTATTAAAGTTAGAATGTTTGTTTCCCATTTTAAAATTAATTTTGGACCTATTGTGATTCGGGTACTGTGACAAATTGGTGGGCTTCACACAATATGGCCATATGGTGTAACCAAATCCCCATATTTGTCTGATAAGATAGGCAAATTTAAGTAGCCATGTAAGTTTTAAACTCTGTTATTTTAGTGTGAGCTGTTTCTTAACCTGTATTTTGTATATATTTTAATCATTACAGTAACACCACTCCTTAGGAATTCATGTTCTGTATGTGCCCCCATTCCCCCATTCCCCCCCCCCCTTTTTAACTTACATACACTTGGGAAAGAGTGGTTGACTAAACACATTGACTGCCTTAAATACATTAGTACAGTGAACTAATTATATATACTAACTTAATAATCTTAACATACTTTCTTAATCACATGAACATACTGACTTAATGGCATTAAAACATTCTATTCAAACCAGAAGGAAGAGTAAACACTAGCAAACAAACAATATTTCTTACACAAATCGCATTACACAAGGTTAACATCCACTATCCAAAGATAACATTGTTTGAAGTAAAATGGAGTCAAAGTAGCACTGGCTGTGTTAACGCCTCGAATGCCAATGCCCTGTATGGAAACAAAGCAGCATTCCGTAACGGCGAGTTACAGGGGCCCAAATCTTAGTCCTTAAGCTCTGGGCCAGTATTATATGGGAAGGAGGCAATGCCAAGACTCTCCATACATTAATTTCCTAGTGCAGGATTGGTGCAAAATGGACTAGGCTATCTATCTGGGTTAATATGCTATAGAAGGGGCTAACATGGAGAGAGAGAATTCTGTTGCAGAAACCGTTGAATTTCTCAATTTCTCCATATGCTTTCTATATACTGGAAGCCAGGGCAGAGTTTATATCTATGATTTGCAGAGAGCTAAGATGGAGGCACGCAGATGCAGGATAAGGAGGTGTTGATCTTTACAGCCAATTTAATTTTCCATACCTCACAAATATAAAACTTGCTAAATATATGAAAAATGTAAAACTAAGATTAAAAATCCTCAGAAGGGAAAGTCTCCCTTTAAGTCACACCACCTAATAGCACGCTGTGTATATATTGTTATTTGCCTTACAGCAGGCGTGACTCTGCACATTTTGCAATATCTTCTTTATCAAAGAAAAACAGGGCTGTAAAAAAGCTAGATTTTCTATCGAGTATAGGAAAGCAGATGTCTAAAAAACAGTAAAATTCTATGAAACAATACAGCTGGTGTTTCACTTCAAACGCAGTGGTACATTTGGTAGAAAGTCTCTGGAAATGGAAATATATTTTTGCTTCTTCGAGTCGGGGAGGTCATATTTTTCTAGACTTTGTTGAGTGCAGATTAAAACTGATTTTGATACTTGCAAAGGGTTTACTGGGTGTGAAATATTTCAAAATCTTATAAGAGATATTTAAAGTCTCTGTTAAGGTAGAGGTTATAATTGTACCGCAAGGTAGACTAGCAGGGCAAGAACAAAACTAATGATTCCTGCAAAAGAACTGAAAGCAGTGTATTTTATTTTTAATCATTGTTTTTTTAAAGATACAATGTAACACTGAGATTTTTTAGCTTAAAGGAACACTGTAGTGTCAGGAACGAAAACATGTATCCCTGACACTATATTATTAAACTAACTAGTTAGGTCCCTGGCCCTCATCCAACCGTAGTAAAAATGTGATTAATCACACCTTTATTTATAATGCTGCTCTGGTCTGGCCATGGCTCGACCTTCCTGATTCTGCCTCCATGGCTGAGATTATCAGTTTTGACAATCTCAACAGCACCTCTAGTGGCTTATCTGAATGACTGCCACTAGAGGTGTTCCTAGGTACCAATGTAAGCACAATGAAAAGCCTGCAGGGATAGGCTATAGACACCAGAACCACTACATTAAGTTGTGATTATAGTGTCCATTTAAATAGAATATTGGTTCATACAACTGTATAATAGTAATAATTAAAAGAAATTGGTAATGATGAAACATGTTCAGAGAAGGGCTACTAAACTGGTTCATGGATTGCGGGATAAAACTTACCAGGAAAGGTTAAAGGATCTTAACATGTATAGCTTGGAGGAAAGACGAGACAGGGGGGATATGATAGAAACATTTAAATATATAAAGGGAATCAACACAGTAAAGGAGGAGACTATATTTAAAAGAAGAAAAACTACCACAACAAGAGGACATAGTCTTAAATTAGAGGGACAAAGGTTTAAAAATAATATCAGGAAGTATTACTTTACTGAGAGGGTAGTGGATGCATGGAATAGCCTTCCAGCTGAAGTGGTAGAGGTTAACACAGTAAAGGAGTTTAAGCATGCGTGGGATAGGCATAAGGCTATCCTAACTATAAGATAGGGCTAGGGACTAATGAAAGTATTTAGAAAATTGGGCAGACTAGATGGGCCGAATGGTTCTTATCTGCCGTCACATTCTATGTTTCTATGTAATTTCCCATGATATATATTTGCTTACCCCCCTATATATTCATAGTGAATTTAAAATTGAATGTCAAAAGAGCCAAACTGAAAAAATGCAGTAAATAACCCTGTATGTGAGGTCTAAACATATAATTAAATGTAGAAATTCACATTAGTCTTTAAAACAAAATGGAGTATCACATAAGATAGCTTGTAAAATATGAGATTTTTATTTTTTTGTGAATGGCATTTTCCCCCTTCATATCTAAGGAATAAAATAATGATTAAAGGTAATCATTTGATCCTGTTTTACTAGCAGACTGCTTCACCTTTAATGCAATTCACACACTCCACCTGAGCATTCTACTGCAAAGTCTTATGCAACAGGAAAGTATCTGGCAAGTCAATAGGTGCAAGGTGCACCACAACCATTGCTGCTGCAATTTAAACAAAATAACTCAGGATTATTTGGGGAGATCAGAGTATTAGGACTCCTAACGGCCATAGCTCTACAGATTGATGTGCTGACTGATTAGTCTTCACCTGAAGATAATCAAGGACTGGGAGATTCCAAGTCGGAACGTAGCCAAATCATGAGCCAATGGATTAGCACGCTTGTTTTGATTTGTGTTTCAGAATCCTACCTGTGGAATCAAAAAGAGGTGTTTGAAGGGAACAAAGTTGATTGATGTCTAAGGGACAGCCACTAAAAATAAATTTTGCTAGTCTGATTCGTTTTCCTTTTTTTTTCTTGCTAACAAAATTTGTTGAACCAACATATGGTCAAAATTCAGCCATCCCGGAAATTATTTTATTTTCAGATCAAATGGTTCGGCCAAGATAGACTGTTGCTGTGCGCAAATCTAGTAAACAATACATGAGCCCCAGACAGGACTTTAATCACAAAGATGTTAAATACAACAAACAGAATATATAAGGCAAAAGCTTAATGAAAGAGAGTTCATTTGTGCCAAAAGGATAAATGAGTAAAAGGAATATTGAAAAGCTACCCACGTAAAGCAATATGGAAGCTCGAAAGTCAATATGAATCAAGTGTAGCCAACTACCAACCATGTAACCAAGCAACTAAATGATAGCAAGTCACAATGACAAAAAAAAACATGCGGGTTATTGATCCACGTTTGTGCTCTGTGAGTTCTTTCTTTCTTGCACAGCTATACGTTTCCAGATACTGCAGTGGGAGTTTATCCACTGAACTATCTCATTTTTTTTTGCCATCTACTAAATCTTTCAGTCACTCTACTTTTCGAAAGGACCAACAAGAACCACAGTTATGCATAATACATCGTGAGTACCTACAGGTTAATTTGCAGGAAACATTCTATGAAGTATAGCAATGCATGCTGGTACAGAAGCCCTGATCCTGCAAGCTTACAATCTATTTGAATATTTTGTAGATAGAAACAGACAATGCGAAGACTGCACTGAGAAGGAAATTCACATAGTGGGTCATTGTAGAGATGGATTATCTGTACTATATAGTTTCGCCACATCCAACATGGCATGCTGATGAATAATATGAAAAATGTTGTTATGTGGTAATAATTATGACATTCAGTGCTGTGTTATGTTGTGTCAGTTACTGTCCCCAAACATCTAGAACAGTGTTCTCCAAATTATAGCCATGCAGATGTTGCTGTACTACAACTCCCATGATTCTTGGAACAAAATAGATAGTCAGAGAATTATGGTAGTTGTAGTTCAACAACATCTGGAAGGCCAGTTTGAAGAAACCTGCTCTAGAACATTTTCAGTCACTCTTTATTCAGCCTCAACACATATTAGTTTCACTAACTGATTCCGCAGCAACAACTCAAAATGGCTTCCAGCTGTCACACAGAAACATATACACTCCGGGGGGAGTATCCTGCTGTTCTTAAAGTTGCAGTATCTCAACAAAAGTTCCCTGTAATAAGTAGAATTCGGAAATTGCAAGGATACTCTGCTTGTTTTTCGATGTACGTTGAAATTCTACATCAAGCAGGTAAGCACTTTCCACGTCTTGTCCATGATTATACATAAGTGAATTGTGTCTAAAAATACACGGTGGATCTTTCAGTTCTAAAATTAGTTATCAATTGGTAATTTTCACAAATTTGTATGGTACTTCAATCCAGTTTACCTTAAAATTCTAAAATACCTTTATGTGTACATATGTATATACAAACACATTATTTTAGCTTTGTCTGTCTGTGAAAGGTGCCAATCTTGCTGTGTCAGATTTAAGTGAGTCAGTTCCTCCCTCTGTATTTTATCCTGCAGTGATTTTACATTTCAATCCCCTGCTGTTAGAAGATTAAGGGCTTTTAGCAACTCTAAAAATGAAGAAAACCTCATGCTTTTATTCTGGGAAATGGCATGTCCTTTTGTTGATAAGACAAATGTTAAATATTCTCATGAAAAAAACAAAACAATAAAACCAGACTGTTTGATGGTGTGCTTACTGAAGGGTGATAATTTTGTTTGTACAGTATTAAGGAGTCGGTTTTTGAATCCCTCTTTTACAGAATTGGCTTCTCCATCAAACCCTCTGTGCCTAGACCACATTGGGGTATTTCTTACTTAGAGCTTCGCATGATTCCAGAGATTGTGATTTAGGATTTATTCACTTATTTTCTACTTAGTGCCCAGCAATAGTGCAATAATGTTTACTGCCCTTGGCAAAACCTACTTCAGATTACTCTCTAATCTCCATTCAGTCTCTTTTTGTAGGTTCCCCCATCTCATTATTCATTTTTTATCTTCTTCCCATCAGTCTTTTTCCAACATCTTTCTATGAATATCCCTTGTTGCACTTTAGTACGTTCATAATATATTTTTAAAAACTTTTTTTTGCTTTGTAGTCTCCATTCCCCATTTTTCTGTCTTCCACTCTCCTTTCCAGTATTCCCTCTTTCTCATTTACATCGGTGGTTTTCATCTTTATGCCATTGGTTATCAACCTCCCTTATCACCAATGTTCATGTAAAACATCCTCTTAGGATATAGGTGGCTTAGGGTATAGGGCTTTGGTTGGGTGTTGAACAGTCCTATGTTACCACTAAACCTATGTTTCCATGAAACCTAGAGCCCTCTAACCCTTTGTTCCCATAATCCGAAACACTCTGTTACACAAAGCCATTCAAAACTACCCTATTCCTGACTACCCCTTATGCTATCCCAACCTTAAACCTCCATTCATAAACTACAATTCAAATTTAAATAAACCCAAACCTTACAATCATTATTTTAGAGGTTTGTTTCTAACAATATCCCTTAAAAATACACTCACATTTCAACTCTCCCTTACTGGTCGTCTCATCTAAGAGGGACAATTTTTTGTCATATAAGAAGTCTTCACATATTACCCTTTTTATCTGGCACCAAACATCTATTTGACAAATAAAAATAAAATAATTTTCATGAGAATTCAACCTGCCATTCACAAATCAAATCCACCTTCAGTAGGTATCAATTTCATCTCCACTGTTCTGGGGAAATTACCAAAATAGGCATCGAGTCATATTTTCAGTTAATGGTGAGCCAAGGAAGTATATTTTGTAGAATCATAGAAATAACATGCATTTCATCATTACACATCTTTTTATCCATTTAAAAAAAAACTTTTTATCTTAAAGGACACTGTAGTCACCAGAACAACTTTAACTTAATGAAGCAGTTTTTGCATCTAGATCATGCCTCTGAAGTCTCACTGTTCAATTCTCTACCATTTAGCTAAAGTTGTTTTGGTGACTATAGTTCCCCTTATATAATAGGCTCTAGCAACAATTTGATACAGCCTCTCTATAAGAACTTTGAAGCCATAGTTATTCTGGAACTATTAGGTGACCTACTGATAACTACAGTACTTAACTAGCTTATTTGTCTACGGCTTACAGAAAGAATGGGACTTGTAGAAAAAGTGATATTTTAAGCACCAAAATAAATTAACAGCTTAATGAAGCAGTTTTAGTGTATAGATCATGCCTCTGCAGTCTCACTCCTCAATTCTCTGCCATTTAGAAGTTAAATCATGTCTGTTTCTTATTTTTTGCATTTACTCAAACATCTCTATTTATATATTGTGAAATAAACCTCTTTATGCAACCACACTTACAATTTCTTCTGAGTGACTTTAAAAACACCATATTAGACATGATAAGACCAGTCATAATTAAATCAATAAGCTGTTAAGGTGTTAAATTATATCTCCCGTAGGCAACAGCTGGTTTTATAAAGCTACAGGTGCTTAGAACATGGGATCTCTGTCTGATGGGTACGGTCTATGTGTGAAACCTATCTTTCATTTTAATGAGTGCAAATATTTTAGTTTAACCATGTACTCACATTGAATTACCAGAGGCCAGCAAGTTTTAGGTAGTGCCTAGCAGGAGAATTAGCCTCCACATAATGTGGAAGGTTAGGGCATCGTTTTTTTTTTTTTTTTTATTATTATTCAACAAATGGTGCCTCTGCTCATTAATTATTTTTTGGCATACTGTGCTGATATTAGGATCTCATTTTCACTGAATAACTATAGACAAAACAAAAAACAACTCAATTATAGCAACATAATAAATAAAATTAAGAGTAAAATGGAGATATGAGTTTTTAGTGTCTTGCATTCAGCAGCTATGTGTATATTTAGAGTTGAGTCAAATTTTACTTGTATTTATTGTAATTATTACTTGAAACTATTGAAATCAATGGTTTCATTCTATTTAAAATAATTTAAAATAATAGGTCATACTCATTTTAACATGTCAACTGCTTTAGTATTATTATTTATAAAGTGCAAACAGATTCCGCATTGCTGTACAATGGGTGGACTGACAGACATGTAGTTGAAACCAGACAAGATAGATGCACAGGAACAGTGGAGTTGAAGGCCCTGCTCCATGAGCTTACATGCTAAAGGCTTTAGAATATCAGAAGTTGTATAAAACACACAGCCTGGCACTCATGGAATGTATAGAGCCTAAACATTAGATCAAACATTTTAGCCCAACTCTGCAAGTCCTATTTTTAATAAATATTTTATAAACTCTTTATATGCCTCAGATAGAACATTATGTATGCCTGGATGAGGCACTTTGCATTTAGGGCTGGTGAATCTTATAGGCGACTTAGGCAGTCCATTAGAGTGCCCCAGGAGTGCCAGCCCTCCTCATGCTGCAGCTGCCTGAGCGATCTCTCATTAGGGCGCACAGGCCCGGGGGCAAGATATGAGAGATCAGAAGGAGGAAAGCACACAGAGCTCCCTCCTGTCAGTTTATCAGTGTAGCATTGCCGAGTTCTGCTCCAGTCCGCGGTACAGGAGCATCCATTTCCTGTACCCGGCCGGACTGACAGGAAGTGCTCACTCAGTGAGCACTTTCTGTCAGTCTGCTTGGGTACAGAAAACAGAAGCTCCTGTACCACAGACTGTATAGGAGCTCGGTCACGCTACACAGGGTGGGGGGGTGAGGAGAATGGGGGGAGACCACTATGGAAGGGAGGTGGTAGGTGAGGAGAGACCACTATGGAGGGGGTGGAGGAGAGACCAATATGGGAGGGAGGAGGGGTGGAGGAGAGACCACTGGGAGGGGGTAAAGAAAGACCACTAAGGGAGGTGGGGGGTGGAGGATAGACCACTATGGGAGGGAGGGGTGTGGAGGATAGATCACAATGGGAGGGAGGGGGGAGGAGAGACCACTAAGGGAGGGGGTTGAGGAGAGACCACTAATTGTGGAGGGAGAGGAGAGACCACTAAGGGAGCTGGGGGGGGTGTAGTAGAGACTGCTATGGGTGGGAGAGCAGTGACCACTAGGGAAGTGGGGGGATGAGGAGAGACCACTAAGGGAGCAGGGAGAGTAGAGACCACTTAAGGGGAGGGGGAGAGGAGAGACCACTAATGTGGTGGGGGAGAGCTCTAAGGGATGGGGGGAGCACCGAGGAACAGGGGGGTAGGAGAGAGGTCTAAGGGATGGGACAGGGAAGCACTAAGGGACAGGAGGGGAGAAATCTAAGAGACAGAAGGGGAGAGCACTACTGGAAAGGGGGCAGGGGGATCACTAGGAGGAGGGGGGGCATGAGAGACGATAGCCCAATAAGGGATGTGGTGGGGGAGAAGAGACTAATAAAGGACAGGGGAGCGCTCTAAGGGATGAGAGGGGAGAGCTCTAAGGGGCAGGGGAGAGCTCTAAGAGATTTGGGCAGGAGAGAGCTCTAAGGGACAGTGAGGCAGGGAAGAGGAATAAGGGATACAGCAGTA